GAAAATAAGATACAGAAGACAGGATTGTGGTTAGTGATTGTGAAAAGAAAGATTTCTCTAAAAAGGTGAGGGATCATGAAAAATCAATCCAGCAGTTGCTAGATGAAGAAAAATAGAATAACATAAGATTGATTAAAATCAATGAAAAACAGGGTATAGCAAAAATTATGTTTAAAAAAATACCTATTCATAGAAGTCATGTAAGAAAACTTCCCAAGCAGGGCAAAATACTTTTACATACAGATTAGTGAGTGATATAGAGCTCCAATTCACCATGATTAAAAAATGTACACCAAGACATTTGATAGTCAAGTTTCCAGAAATCCAACACAAGAACAGAATATTAAAAATTCAGAGAAAGGAACAAATTACATATAAAGGAAAAGCATTCAGAATCACAGCAGACTTCACAACACAGAATCTCAAGTCAAAGAGAACTTGGAGTGAAGTACTTTAAGCCCTAATAGAAAAAAACCTGCAGCACAGATTAAATTGTCTTTTAATATTGACAGAGAAATAAAATATTTTCATAACAAAACACCTGCAGAAATTCATGATCACCAAGCCGGCACTCCAATTTGTTATGAAGGATATTCTAGAAAGAGATAGGAAGAATTACTATTTCATCATCCCCAACAGAATGGATCCACCAGGCAAGGCATGCAATTAAACAGAGGAAGATAAAATGGAACCAAAAACAGGAAAATAATATTTCAAGGATAAGTTGATACATATTAGTTATAACAATCAATGTGAATGGTCTCAATTCACCACTCAAAAGAAACAAACTGGCAGAATGAATTAAGCATTAAGATCCAACAATATGCTGTACACACAAAACTCATGTGATTAAAAAAAATTCATAGAGAAAAACTCAAAGATTTGAAAATGTTACTCCATGTGATAGGAACCTGGAAAAAAGCAGAGGTAGTAGCTATTCTATTTGCAGATAAAGTGGATTTCAATCAAGACTAATAAATACAAAGAAGGTCATTACATCTTTGTAATGAACAATCCAAGAGGAAGAGATAACACTCATAAATGTATATGCACCACATACCAGTGCATCCAACTATAGAAAACAAATATTAATGGATATGAAAAATTAAAATCCAATAAGTGCTAATACAAGTTTCAATGGGAGAGCTCAATACCCTACTATCACAGGTAGATCAAGTAGACAAAAAAAAATCAATAAAATGTTAGAACTGAACCAAAATTTTGAACAAATTAACTTAGTAGATGTTTAAAGAACATTCCACTCCACAATAACAGAATACATATTCTTCTCAGCTACACATGGGGCATTTTCCAAAATAGACCACATACTAGCTCACAGAACATGTGTAAGTAAATGCAAAGGAACTGAAATTATCTCATGCATATTGTAAGACCACAGTGCAATGAAATTGGATGCCAAACAACAGAAAAACTTCATAAATACATGGAAATTAAATAACATCCTCCCGAACAACCAATGGCTCACAGATGAAATTAAAGAAGAAATTAGTTCCTATAATTAAACACTAATGCCAGCACACCATATAGGAACTTACAGGATGCAATGAAGGCTGTTCTATAAGGGAAATTTATAGCTATGAATACCCATATCAGAAAAACAGAGTAAGCTCAAATAAACAACCTATTATTGAACCTCAGGTTTCTAGAAAAAGAAGAGCAAGTCAAGTCCAAATTTCATATGAGGGAAGAAATTATAAAGATCAGAGAAGAAATTAATGCAATGGAGACTAAGAAAATGATTCAAATAATTTATGAATTGAAGAGTAGGTTCTTTGAGAGATTAAAGAAAATTGACAAACCATTAGCCAGCTTTATAAAAAAGGAAGAAAATACTCAAATCCATGCAATTAGGAATTAAAATAGTGAAATCACAAAAGATCCTGCAGAAATCCAGAAGATCATCAATACCTAATGTAGAGAATCTGTAGTCTAATTAGGCAGAAAACACAAAGGAAGTAGATTCCTATGATGAATTACCAAAACTGAATCAAGAAGATATAAAAATTCTAAATAAATTTATATCAGGCCATGAAACTGAAATGTAATTAAAAATCTAATAACAAAGATAAGCCCTAATGGATTCACTGTTGAATTCTACATGAAAATTAGAGATCTAATACTGCTACTCCTCAAACACTTTAATAATGTCAAAAGAAAAGCAATACTCCCTGATTCACTCCTGGAAGCAAGCATTGCTCTCATGCCAAAACCAGAAAAGGATCCAACCTAAAAAGAAATAAAGGCTAATCTCCCTAATTAAAATAGTTGCAAAAATACTCAATAAAATACTGGCAAATGGAATACAGCAAATCATCAAGAAGGTTATACACCATGGATAAGTAGGATTCATCCAGGGAATCAGGGATGGTCAGCATAAATAAATCAATAAATGTAATACACCATATTAATAGATCCAAGGACAAAAAACACATGATCAACTCAATAGATGCAGAAAAATCATTTGACAAGTTCTGAAACCCATTTGTGATAAAACACTACAGAAAAATAAAATAGAAGCTCTTTGTCTCAACCTGATAAAGGCCATCTATGCCAAACCAAAGGCCAATATAATATTAAAAGGTCAAAAACTGAAAGATTCATTCCAATATCAGAAACAAGACAAGGATGCCCACTGTCACCACTCTTATTCAATATAGTTCTGGAAAACTTTCTAAAAGAAATTAGACAAGAAAAACAAATAAAAGAGGGCCAAGTATTTAGCTCAGTGGTGCTGCCACCTGCCTCACAAGTGCAAGGTCTTGAGTTCAATATCAAAAAAAAAAAAAAAAAAAAAAAAGAAAAAGAAAAAGAAAGAAAGAAAGAAAAAAGAAATAAAAATAGGAAAGAAAGAAGTTAAATTATCATTATTTGAAGATGACATGATACTCTACCTAGAAGATACCAAACACTTAACCAAAGTGGGGAGGATAGAGGGGGTGAAGGAGGGGAGGGGTATGGAGAAAAATGAGAATCAAGATCTTTCATGTAAAGGTACATCCCAATGATAAATGCAACTGTGCTGTATACTTAAAAAGTACCAATATACTCAATACAATAAAAAACTCTAGATTTAATAACCAAATATAGTAGCTGGACACAAACTCAACAATCATAATTCAATAGCCTTCTTGTACATGAATAACAAACTTGCTGAGAGAGAAATTAGGGAAATAACACCTTTCACAATAGCATTAAAAAAGAAATACCTAGGAATCAATCTAATGAAAGAAGTAAAAGACCTGCACATTGAAAACTACAGCACTGTGGAAAAGGAGATCAGAAAATGGAAAAATAACCCTTGTTCTTGGATTTAAAGAATAAAAAGTGTGAAAATGGCCATACTTCCAAAATTTTATACAGATTTAATGCAATCTCAATCAACATTCCAACTGCATATCTCACAGATTTAGAGAAACAATCCTAAAACTCATTTAGAACCAGAAGAAACATAAAATAGCAAAAATAATCCTGAGGAACAAAGGCAAGGCAGGGGGCATCACAATTTCTGACTTGAAATTATATTCCAAAGGTATTGTGATTTAAAAAAACAACCTCTAATAATTGGTGCTGGAAAAATGGTTTTCTGTTTAATGAAGATTAAAATTGGACCCATATCTTTGACCATACACTAACCTAGAATCAAAATGGATCACAGATCTAAATGTTAAAACAGAAACACTAAATCTGTTGAAAGGTAGGATAGGGAGAATTCTCAAAGACATTGGTGCAAGCAAAGGCTTTATGAACAAAACCTGGATCACACTGGAACTTTGCAAAGAATAAAACAACCAGGACAGCATCTCATAAACTCAATGAGAGAGAGACAAAAAAAGAAGCAAAATATAACAATATGCTGTACACAAGAAACAAAAAAAGAAGAAGAAAAGGGTAAATAATGGAATACAATTGTGGAGGAACATATACAAAAGGAGGAAAACAGTAAAGAATACTTTTTTAAATTTAAGAAGCAAAATAATGAAAATGAAAACAATAATACAATAAAATAAAGGTTTTTATTGTTTTGGGCACAGGGCTCTTTTCCTCAGTTTAAAGTAAAAAGCACAGAAGAGCTCAAGGCAGGACGTGTCTCTGTTCATGCTGGAAGTCTAAGATGACAATCTCCCCCGCAGAATGGTTCTGTAAGCAGATCTCTACACCAATATGCCAATGTTAGCTTCCAGTCCTCTAACTCAGGCTGAACCTGGCTTCTAGACAGAAACCTGGTCTGTGATCACAGCCCCAGCCTCTCAGCAGGACTCCTCCCATTCTTTTCAACTGCAGGTAATCTCCCTTGACTGTCTTTCCTTCAACTACTCTGGAAACTTGGCAATATGAAGCAGCCAGGGTGCTGATTTGGGACCCATGTTCAAACACTCAGCCCTTCCTTGCAAGGGTGTCCCCACCAGCTCTTGCTCCACAGTTGCAGCTGTGGGAGCTTGTACAGTTATCCACTGTTTATTCTGGAGGGCCACTCTGTAAGTAGTGTCCCATGTTTTCCTTACTGGATGGAACTGAACATGATTCTCATTCCCAATGAAGTTCCCTGGTTCACTTTGCTTCCCAGTTGGTGGCTAGCCAGATGCTGTGAGCATCACTGTGTGGTCACTCCTCCATGGTGTGATCTATTTCTTCTGTTCTACTTAGTCATATTTTCTTCCCCTCTGTCATTTCCCTCATAGTTCCTGGATAACTTCCATTCATTTCAATTTCTCTTTAAGCTATTGTTTTTCCAGACTCTAGATACTTTAACTTGATTTGCTGGCATCCATTGCTCCATTTTAGAACTGCCTCTCAAACTTTGCATTTTAAAAGCAGTCTAAATTCTTCAGTTAGATCTTTCTTACAAAGTGCAAGGAAAGTGGTGTAAAATCCATGATATTCAGGCTTTTTATCTCTAACAGCTCAAAAACTACAGTACCTAAAGAGGTATCCAATGGGAAAAAGGTACATATTTGATGATCCTACCCTCAGACATCTACCTGTCTCTCGAGAGGATATACATCTTTCCCATCTGTTTCCACCAGAAATAGCATCCCAAAATCTCAGTATTTTCAATAGTGCCTGGTAGATTTGCAAATGTGGGCTCAGGACTCTAGGATCCAGTTGCTGGACACAGCCTTTTCTGTGTTCAACAATCAGAATCTAAATGAGGATAAAAAGAGAAAAGTTAAAAAAAATTATGGCTTTCACAATTGGCAATGCTTTAATCATACCTGTCATCCAAAAGAACACTCAAGGCCAATCAAGAAGTCCAAGAATACTGAGCACTTGGCACATGACTGTACCAAGCCACTTCCCAGGCCCTGCTCTCTGTGTCAGGCAGCCAATGTGCCTAAATAATGGCACTGGAGTACTGACTGCCCCCAGTCCCAGAGAGAGCCTAGAACAGTCAAAATTCTCACCCTCCATTCTGATAAAGAGGACTGAGAAGGCCTGGGGCAGCTTGCAATAGCCGAGCCATGGATACCTTGATCTCCTGCAAGAAACTCTGGGTGACCACACATTCAAAGGTAAGCAACGTCAATTCCTTTAGCTTCTGTTTTAACTCCCTTCTCCGTCTTAGTTACTTAAAAGTAAAAAGGGGAAAGGTTTATTTAGCTCACAGTTTTTAGATGTTTCAGTCCATAATCAACTGGCTTCAAGGCAGGAGTGGAAAACAAGACATCACAGAGGAGAAACAACATGGCATGCACAAAGTAGCAAAAGCAACAAGGGACCTTAGCAGCATCTTTCCACCCCTGTTATCTTATCCATACTCTTGGGATTAGGGCAGTACCAAATCAATTGCTCATGTGTAGTGTTTCAGTACAGTAATCATATGCCCTTAAACCCAGAATCACACACTCTAGATTCAACCACTTCTGAAAAATTAAGCCTCACCTCATCCACATAAGTCATTAGTTACACATCTAAACATGAGCCATAACACACTTCTATAGATCTATAGCCATGATTGGGGTCAAGGAGAGCCCTAGTCAGAGCTTCTTTACTGCAATTACATGTTAATTTAAAGGTCAAATGTTCAACCATGAATTTTTAATTGTCTCAATGTGTACTACTCCCTTACTAAGGAGAGATTAACTAGCAAAATTTGGAGGAATTTCCAATTCCAGCAAAGGGAAAAGTAAGTAGATTTTACCTGTTGAAATTATGTCAGGCCATACTTGTAGACACCCACGAGGTTACCATAAAGACTTGAATTCCACACTTGTGAACAAGTGATTTCTCAGATCTTTGAAAGCAGGCAAGATATCAATGTCCTGCCCTATGACTCTGTGGAGATGTGATTCACTGATGAAAGTAGCTTTGTCCAAGGAGGACATCAAAAAGGTAATGTAGTTTTCAGGTTGCAACATGTTGTTGAGGTCAAATCCTCTTCCCCAGGCACCTCTGCTCAAAAAGCAGAGCACATAGGACTTACTCAGGAATTAATATTAGGAAAAGGCAAAAAGTTAAATAGCTATACAAACTCAAAATGTGTCTTTCTGGTGCTACAATGCTATGCATCGATCTGGAAAGGAAGAAGTTGATAATAATAAGCAATCATCTATAAAGAACAAACAAGAAATTCACAATTCTCAGAGATAGTGTCCATTGTCCCAAGCAGGTAACTGTCACTCACTGCAAGGGATCCCAAAGAGATATGTCTAAAGTCCCTTTAGGAAATCAAAATGCTGGTAAAGAGACATGAAGGGCAGCATTACAACCCTTCAAGACTTCACCTTATTCCCAGTCCCTGAGGAACCATTAGAGTGGTCCTTCCTCAAGGGATGCAGTGACAAGTTATGAAAACTCTACCTAAGTAATAGTCATTTAAATTTACACAGGACTAAGATTAGCAAAGACCATTCAGCAGGTCTACAAACTGATTATTCTGTGCTTACAACAACACTGGCAAGCTCAGACTACCTACTTTGTTAGATAGACCCTGTAGAGAGGAGAAGGAAACACACTGAGGAAGATGGGAAATTATAAAGCCAGCTCCACATTAACTGTATGAGGAAAAAGACTACCCAAAAGAAGAAAGCTACTCCTGTGAACCTCTGGGAGACCTAAGACTCCTCTTCAAAAACGAAGACTCCAGTACTGCTCCAGGTGCAGATAAGTAAATAGGCAGCTGTATTGAGACTCCTGTTTCTAATTAGATCTATAATGTGGGTAATCTTGCTACGACTCTCAAACTCTTGATAATGTATCTACATTCTGTCTGTCATACATTCTCCTCCAAAAAAACCTTGGAAATATGCTAGGGATTTAGCTCAGTGTCACTGCACCTTCCTCCGAAGTGCAAGGTCCTGAGTTCAATCCCCAGTACAAAAAAAAAAAAAAAAAACTTGGAAATCTGACCTGCTACTCATATTCAGGCTCTACCTACCCAAATTAATAGTAAAGTTTCTTTCTTCCTCGCATCAAACAGATTACTCAATAGTCACTAACTCTTTTCTTATTGTCTTCTCAAAGTTTTTTAACACAGCCAGTGAACTACAGCACCCAAAGGTAGGTAAAGAACACATAATCCCCAGTAGGTAAGGCCTACAGCATATTCCATCAGGAAGTAACTGTGAAGATGGAGATATCGATTGCTTCAGAACCCAGTAAAGAATTATATGGATATCTGTCTCAAGGGAAAATGAGGAATGAAATTAGGGCATGGAAAAGCTGGCTGGGAAAGTGGTGTGACCAGTTAACTATAAAGTCCCAGGCCACATGTACAGAATGCTTCCCAAAGTCCTGCACATGGATTTTGTGCAAGAATTAGAGCATGTTTTCAATAGGATGGGTTAGGTCTAACATCAGCCTGAGAAGTGGAAGATACAAAAAGGACAATCAACTGAGCTTTTGTTATTATGTTCTCTCTTGCACAGTTGTCCACTCTCCCACTGTGAGGTGTACATCTTTTCCTACTTTTGCTTGAACCAAATTCATTCTGCACAGCCTTTTCTCTTTCCTAACTTTGAGAAATTCAAAACTTTGCTACCGTTTGCATTTGTCTTGACTGATTGAGGGAAATCTGTCTTGATTTGTCTCTCCTCAATCTAAACAGACATAGGAAGATAAGTTTTGTTGTGTGATGCATCATTTTTTTTTGCTAGTATGGAAAAAAGGACACAGACATTGGCAAGTCATTGCCTCGTAAGCTTCATTTTATAACTGTGTTAAATAAGCAGGGGCCAAAAATTTAGAAGTACAATATTGGTAAATGGTGTCCCCTAAAATGGTAGAAATCAAGACAAAATTTTCCACTAGCTTTTTATCTGTACTCTTAACCTCTATTTGTTTTGAAGTGCTTACCTAATTGAAACAGGTAAAGTTTAAGAACATACAAATGTTTTCTTGCTTTGTCAATATGAAATCCAATTTCCTCCTATTTTAATCATAAAATATCATCAAGGTATACATTAAAATATGTATATTTCTATGTGATCTATGGCATAAATCTGTTATATTTATTCCATATTTTTCCACTTTATAATTTTAGCTTTAAATAGCACTTTTAATGTTTTATTGACAGATATTTTGGTTATGTACAGAATGCCCCAAACTCATCTACTATAATCTAACACTCAGTGTGATTGTATTTGGAAGTGGGACTTTTGGTAGTTGACTAGGATTAGGCAAGATCACAAGGCTGGAGCTCTTATACAGAGGTTTGTGTCTTTATAACAGAGGGAGAGACATTAGCTTATATGTGTGTTCTTTGATTCTACAAGGGCACAGAGAAAAGGCAATGTAAGGACACAATGAAAGAGCATCTATCTGAGCCAGAATGAAATAACCAAATGTAATGTCACCTTGATCTTGGAATATTTCAGAATATTAAGAAACTAAATTTCTCTTGTTGAGTCAAGCAATCTGTGGTGATTGCAAAGGTACAGAAGATAGAATTGCAGTCAGTGACCATGAAAAGAGAGGTCTCTTAAAATCAATAAGGGATCATGAGAAATCGATCGAACAACTCTTAGGGGATGCAAAGAAGAATAACATAAGAATGATAGGAATCCAAGAGGTAGGAGGAGAAAATGCAAACGACTTTAAAAAGCTGTTCACAGAATTAATGACAGAAAACTTCCCAAACAGAAGGGAAGAATTTGACATACAGATAAGTGAGACATATAGGATTCCAACTAACCATGACCAAAAAGTATACACCTAGATATATAATAATCAAGATCCCAGAAGCCCAACAAAAGAAAAAAATGCTATAAGCAATAAGAGAAACAAATCACATGCAAAGGAAACACCTTCAGGATGACAGTAGACTTTTCAACACAAATTGTCAGGTCAAGGAGAGCCTGGAGTGAAGTATTTCAAGACATAAAAGAAAACAACCTCCTACCTAGACTGATGTATCCTGCAAAACTCTCTTTCAAAAAGGATGGGGAACTAAGATACTTCCATGACAAAGAACACCTAAGAAACTTCATGAATACTAAACCAGGACTACAAATAATTCTAAACAATATTCTATAAAAAGACAATGAAAGTCACAACACCATGAGGCCCAACAGAGCAAATCAAATAGAAAAGGCAAGATCTGTCATATAATGGTACAAGATCCCAATGATGAGTACAATTGTACTGTATACCTAAAATGTACCAATAAACTAAATGAGAGAAAAAAGTTTAAAAAAGAAAAATGGGCAACTGAAATGAACAGACATTTCTCAGACAAATAAGTAAGTGCAGGAAATAAAGATATGAAAAATGTTCAACATCACTGGTCATTCAAGATACACACCTTAAAAGAACACTGAGATTCCACTTCACCCCAGAAATAATGGCTACTATCAAGAAATCAATCAGTAAAAAATGTTGGTGCAGTTATGGGGATACAGGAACCTTTCTCCATTGTTGGTGGGAGTGCAGACTGCTGCAACCACTATGGACGTCAGTATGGATATACCTCATAAAATTAGGATTAAAAGTCCCATTTGACCTAACTATTCCCCTGTTGGGTATCTTCCCCCCAAAATTAAAAGAATCATACCATAGTGATATATGCTCACCCATGTTTATAGCAGCACAGTTTGTAATAGCTAAAACTTG